ACGGGTGGAAAAAAGAAAAAAAAGGCGACGCACGTGTCTCGGCCGATTGAATGGGGCGCGCGCTTCCTTCCCAACGGCGACCTGTGACACGAATTCACGAATCGTCGTAATCGACAAAAGGAACGCGACGGAACGGTGCAACAGGACAAAGGGGAGGCGACTTCTCGAAAAAGAGAAGGGAGTCTTCGACATGTTTCCTGGTAAAAGTTGCGGTAAAAGAGGGGAAAGAGGAGGAAGAGAGGTAAATTTAGATCGAAAGAATCAATAGTGAAAAATATCGTGAATTAATAATCGGTCATATTTATAAGTGTAATTGTTACGAGATATGCGTTTTAATAATTTTTTTTTTTTTTTTTTGTATAGTTATACCATTTTTAATCTCGGTGGATTAATTCCATTGGTATTTAGCATTCGACGAATAACAAATAATATTAGATTTATTAGATTATTATCCCCATCGCTGATATTATTATTATTAAGAAATCTATTTTTAATCCAGGAATAGATTGAATTGTATACTCATCATTAACTTCTTATTTGTACCATTCTTTTTCTCTTCTCAGGAATTTCATCAATTATAGGTTCATTAAATTTAATAATAACTATTATAATAATAAAAAAATATTTACACAACTATTATTATACCATTATCAATATTAGTTGGAGCAATTATTATATCCTTTCACTCGAAATTTCAATACATTATTTTTGATCCAATTTTATATAAACATTTATTTTGATACGTATATTTCATTCATCCAGAAGTTTTATATTTTATATTCTACCTCTTTCTTTGCACGTTACGATCAAATATCGATCCATACCAGTATCCAAGAATGGCTCTCGACAATTATCACTCGCAGATAGATACTAATTGAGAAATGAGAAATGAATGAATAATTAAATTCGCAATTTTCGATAATAAAAAAAAAAAATTCCTTAATCCAAAAGAAAGAAAAGGAAAAAAAAAAGGGGTGGATGGTTCGATACGCCCCGGTCGCGAATCGCATACTAATTAAGAAATGAGAAATGAATGAATAATTAAATTCGCAATTTTCGATAATAAAAAAAAAAATTCCTTAATCCAAAAGAAGGAAGAGGAAAAAAAAAGGGGTGGATGGTTCGATACGCCCCGGTCGCGAATCGCGCACGACTGGCTAATTGGCGACAGAAGGGGGGCAAGCAACACTCTCTCGCGGAGACCTTTTCACCCGCTACGCGGATGCACGAGACGGGGCGGCTGCAGCTGCACGGGGCCCCGTGCAGCGCGAAAAACGCATCTTTTGTGCGCCCGTGGCTCGGTGCAAAAAGAGCGCATGGAGGCGGCGCACAAAGCTGGCCCCCAAAGCAACAGATCGATTGAAATTGAAACGAGACGTAAGAACGTGGCGCGCGCCCCACGTTCCGTCCCAATCGTTTGCCCGTTTTCGATGTTAACGATGGAACCGCGTGACGCGAGTCATTTTCTCGTCTTAATGATCCGCGCGCGCGCGCGCGTAAACCCTTTCGTGCCCCATCGATCGTTCGTATAATTCTCCTCTCCTGTAATTTGTCCAGTGCTTTCTAACTCGGCGTAACGAACATTTTCAACTAAAGTATATTAAACGTAGCAGAGAAATTATTTTTGTAAATATATTAGAACGAAGTATTGTTATAGAGTCAAATATTTATGTGGGAATTTTTGGAAGAGAGCTTATTTTAACGTAGCCCTTTCGTGCTTCATCATTGATGCCTCTCTCATATAACTTTTTTAAATTGACATAAGGAACATTTCCAATGGAAAAGTATATTAAATGTAGCGTAGAGAAATTATTTTTGTAAATATATTTGAACGAAGTATTGTTATATAGAATCAAATATTTATGTAGGAATTTTTGTTTTATAATTTTTTAAATCAGTATAACATTTTCAACTGGAAATATTAAACGCGTAGAGAAATTATTTTTGTAAATATATTCGAACGAAGCATTCGCAATTACATATTTAAGTCAAATATTTATGTGGGAATTTTTGGAAGAGAGCTTATTTTAACGTAGCCCTTTCGTGCTCCATCGTTGATGCCTCTCTCATATAACTTTTTAAGTTGACATAAGGAACATTTCCA